GTTTAATTGACTAGGTTTTTTAAGATTGAGGGAACAAGGTGAGGTCCTTGTGAATTTTGATTAATAATGAATTTACTTGCATGAGGATACGAGAGCAGAGAGCTCTGAATTTGGGAGAAGGTATTTATTAGAGATATTAAGTAAATAAAAGTATTTTTTATTTTTTTCTTTCTTCCCACTTCCATTCTGTTCCTGTTTCCATGGAACGTGGGATACTATTCTGTTGAGGATTCATGTATATTAGTTAGAGACTTATTCAATGGAAAGATACAATTCATTCTCTCCAAAACTACTTTGCCAAACCTCCTTTCATGGTATCAGAGCACTAGCAATGTTCAGCTAGTCAAGATCCAAATTCCTCTGTTTTCTTCTCTCTTCTGTTCGTGTGGTTATCATCTTCGAACATCATGTCTGACTCCTCTGTTTCGGCCGCCAATGAAGACTCAGTTATTACCTTCAATCCTGCTGCACAATTGCCTCTAAAGCTCACACCAACAAATTTCAATTCATGGCGGTCCCAAATTGAGATACTACTCATGGGATTAGATCTCGTCGGCTTCATCGACGGAACAAATATTGCCCCTGCATCAACAATCAAAGAAAATGGCACAAGTTGCCCAAATCCAAAGTATCACCGCTGGTTCCGTCAAGATAAGCTGATTCTTCATGCTATTCGCTGTTCGATTTCCGAATCTCTCTATTCTTTTGTCTCTGCTGCTAGTACATCCCGTGAAGCGTGGCTGACGCTTGAAAAGTTGTATGCGGGTCGTTCTCAATCCCGAATAATCAATCTCAAGGGAAAAATTAAATCGCATAATTAAGGGAAATCAAGATGTTATTACCTTTGTGAATGACTTGAAGCTGACTGCCGCAGAACTAGCTCTCGTTGGAGAACCCGTCTCGGATATGGACCTCGTGGTTCAGTGTCTTCGTGGTCTCGGCCCCGATTATAATCACTTCTTTGCCGCTGTCCGTGCTCGGGGAACCACAATCTCAGTAGAAGAACTTCTTGATTCTCTGGTTGAATATGAAGCTGATTTGCAGGAACAGTCTCGCCTGAATACTGTTCCCACAGCCTTTTACACAGGCCAGTCTCGTCGTGGTGGGAACAACAGTGGTGTTGGGCGAGGCTTTCATTCATCTCGTGGCGGCAGCTCCTCCAGTGGGTCGCGTCCCCAGCAGCTACAGGGATACAATTATGGGCATGCTGTCTCTCGGCCCACTCACTCCTCTCCGCCCGCTGGGAATTATGGGCCAGCTGTTGCCTCTCGGTCCACTCCAGCCTCCTCGCCTGCTGGGCTATTTTCTTCAGCCGAGCCCACTCGCCAGCGACGAGTCTCAGTCACCTGTCAATACTGCGAGCGCCCAGGCCATTCAGTCAGGCAGTGTTTTCAATTATTTCCCCAGGCCCGTGAGGCATTTCAGGCCCGCCAGGCCCAAGCTCAAATTAATTTGTCCACACACTCTGGCCCAACAGGCGGCTCTCCCTCTTCTGGGCCTTGGCTATTGGATTCAGCAGCAAGCCATCATGTGACATCTGACTCGGGCCACCTTTCTCTTTATTCTGATTACACGGGCCCCGATGAAATCTTGGTTGGTGATGTTCAGGTTTGGCCATTTCTCATATTGGTTCCTCGTCACTCACTACTGGCTCTCATAACTTGGCTTTGCGCGATATTTTATGTGTTCCTACAATCAAGAAGCATTTAATTTCTGTCTCCAAGTTATGTCAAACTAATCCTGTGTAGGTGGAATTTTTTGCCACTCATTTTATTGTGAAGGATCTTCGCACGGGGGCGCAGTTGCTGAAGGGGGAAAACAACGGTGATGTGTATGAACTGCCTCGGGAAGTAAAGAGTGTTCGAATGGCACTTGTTACCACTCAGACGATATCAACTTCTTGGCATGCTCGACTTGGCCATCCTTCTCATCAGTCCCTTTCCAGTCTTATTCGGTCAAACTCTCTTCCAGTGTCGTCCTCTCTTACTTGTTCTCCATGTGATCCCTGTCTTTCCAATAAAAGTCACAAACTACCATTTTCGGTTTCCACTTTGACCAGTTTTCGTCCATTTGATCTTTTGTATACCAATGTTTGGGGCCCCGCTCCGGTTTCTTCCATTGATGGATATCGTTATTATTTGGTTATTATTGATCATTTCACTCGATATACTTGGTATTATCCATTACATAATAAATCTGACGTCCTTCAAGTTTTTCTTTCCTTTAGAAAAATGGTTGAAAATTATTTTTCCACTACTATTCGTCGCCTTAACACGGATGGTGGTGGCGAATTCCAGAAATTACGTTCAGATTTGCTTGCTAATGACATTACTCATCTTCTCACCCCACCACATACACCTGAACACAATGGTCTTGCTGAACGTAAATATCGTCACTTGGTCGAAACTGGTATTACTCTTCTTCATCATGCTAAACTTCCTTCTTCCTTTTGGTCCTTTGCTTTTTCCACCGCCATTTATCTCATCAATCGTCTCCCTTCCTCGGCCCTACGCGGTAAAATTCCTTACACACTTCTCTTCAACATAGCTCCTAACTATCATAAACTACGTATTTTTGGCTGTCTTTGTTACCCTTGGCTTCGACCCTATTCATCTCACAAACTCGATCCTCGTTCTCGTCCTTGTTTATTTCTTGGCTATTGTCCTCAACGCAGCGCATATCGTTGTTTTGATCCTGATACTCACCGTCTTTTCCTCTCACGGCATGCCATTTTTGTGGAGTCTCACTTTCCAGGTTATCGGGCCACTCCCCCTGCTGCACTTGCCTCCACTGGATCCTGGCTCTTTGATTCCTCCTCCACCATCACCTCCTTCCCGTGCCGAGCAGTTCAGCCCACCACTGTGTCTTCACCGGCCCATCATTCCCCCCCAGCAGCGGCCCTTCAGCAAGATTCTTCCGCAACTGGGCCGCACTCTCCTCGCCCGTCCTCTTCGGCCCACAGTCCGCCTAGAACTCCACTGACGACTTCTCCTGCTGTCCCCGCTGTTTCGCCTCCCCTGCTACGCTCGCATTCCATGACTACGCGGGCTCAGCTAGGGGTTTTTAAGCCCAAAAAGCGCCTGTTTCTTACCCAGCGCACTAGTGGGTCCCTGCCTCTGGAGCCCCACACAGTTCAGGAGACCCAGTAGTATCCAGAGTGTGATTCGGCCCTCACGGCTGAACATTCTGCTTTGTTGGCCAATGACACTTGGGATCTTGTTCCCCGCCTTCCTCACTATAATGTTCTTGGTAATCGGTGGGTATATCGCGTTAAACATCACTTGGATGGGTGCATTGAGCGGTTCAAAACTCGCTTGGTGGCCAAAGGTTTTCATCAACGACCCGGGGTCGATTACAATGATACATTTAGTCCGGTGGTCAAACCGGTCACAGTTCGTACCATCTTCACTTTGGCTCTTTCTCATGGTTGGCCTATTGCTCAGTTTGATGTCAATAATGCCTTTCTTCAAGGTCCATTGGCAGAAGAGGTTTATATGGCTCAGCCTCCCGGGTTCATTGATCCTACTCGGCCTCATCATGTTTGTCGCCTTAAGAAGGCTATTTATGGACTCCGTCAAGCTCCTCGTGCTTGGTACTTTACCTTGTGTGCTTTCCTTAAGGATTTTGGTTTTCACAAGACTCATTCTGATGCGTCGCTGTTTGTCTATTCTCGTGGACGGACTCTACTATATTTCTTGGTCTATGTTGATGACTTGCTGCTCACCGGGTATGATCCGACTGTTCTTTCCACCTTTCAGCAGACACTTTCCAGTCGTTTCTCCCTCAAGGCCCTTGGTGATGTCAATTATTTCTTGGGTATTGAGGTTATTCCGACTTCTACAGGATATGTTTTGTCTCAACACAAGTACATGGTTGACATCCTTACTCGGTTCATGATGCTTGACGCCAAAGCTGTTGACGCACCTATGGCCGCCTCTACTACACTCCACCTTGCTGATGACACACCCCCTGCCGAGGCTACTCGGTTTCGCTAGGTGGTTGGTGCCCTCCAATATCTTGTCTATACTCGGCCGGACATTGCCTACTCCGTCAACAAGCTCTCTCAATACATGCATGCTCCGACAGCTTCTCACTGGCAATGCGTCAAGAGGCTACTTCGTTATGTCTCCGGTACTCTCACCTATGGTCTCGCCATTCGTCGGTCGTCTGCTCCATTTTCTCTATCTGCCTTTGCTGATTCAGATTGGGCTGGCAATCATGATGATTGTTCCTCCACCTCTGGTTATCTCATCTACCTCGGCTCAACCCTGATCTCTTGGCGTTCTCAAAAGCAACGCTCTGTTGCTCGGTCCAGCACAGAGGCCGAGTATCGCGCCATTGCCCATGCCACCGCTGGACTTGAGTGGATTCAGAACCTCCTCATTGAGCTTCAAATCCCTTTGGCGTCTCCACCAACTCTCCATTCTGACAACCTTGGTGCCACGTATTTCAGCTCCAATCCGGTCTTCCATTCTAGGATGAAGCACTTAGCATTGGATTATCACTTCGCTCGCCAACTCGTTCAAGCCGGCTGTCTACGTGTGTCTTACATTCCCACTGCTCAGCAACTCGCTGACGCCCTCACTAAACCATTACCATCCACATGGTTCCTTCTTCTCCGGTCCAAGATTGGCGTCGTTGATACCTCCTCCATCTTGCGGCGGCGTATTAGAGATATTAAGTAAATAAAATTATTTTTTATTTTCCCTTTTTCTATTTTTTTTTCTTTCTTCCCACTTCCATTCTGTTCTTGTTTCCATGGAACGTGGGATACTATTTTGTTGAGGATTATGTATATTAGTTAGAGACTTATTCAATGGAAAGATACAATTCATTCTCTCCAAAACTACTTTGCCAAACCTCCTTTCAGTATTTGGGGGAAGGCTGAAGGGAGAACTTTTAGAGTTTTAAATAATGTGAATAAGGATTTTTAGAGTCCTGGTTGGGTTTGGGGGATAAGGATTTTTTTGGAAAATAATGTGAATAACTTTTAGAGTTTTAAATATCTAATAATTTTATATGAGATAACTGATGGCAGGGGTGGTTGGTTAAAAGTTGGGTTAATTGCATGGTTGGTCACTGAGATTACAAAAAAGGTTCAAGTTTGGTCACTCGGAATATTTAAATCCAATGGTGGTACTTCACTTTACGAAAACCGTTCACGTTTGGTCACTCTCCGTTAGCTGCCATCCATCTCCGTTAAATGAGTCCGCTAAGTGATGATGTGGCGGACAAAATCGTCTAATCAGCACTATTTAACCTGAAAATAGTCTCACCCGACCTGCCACGTCATTGAAACCGGCCAGCTCATCTAAACCTACCCAACCCTCTAACCAAATAAAACCTGACCCGGTCCACCAACCCAACTACCCACCAAGATTAAATCCCTAAATCGATGAAAAATCAACACCTTTCCTTCTACCCTGCCGCCGGCGCGGGGGCAGCCTACAATCCCAACTACTGGCAGCAGCCCTATGAACTTGTTTCTCGAAATGTCGAGGACCTGGAGCTGGGTCATTTCACGTGAGATCTTTGCCGGGAAACATCCGTCCAGGCCATTATGAGAGAGGATAAGAGCTTAAGCGATGTGAGCTTTGCCATCTCAACGGGGAGTGGTCCAGTGACAACAACATCATTGGTAATGGTTAGGTTCTCCAAGTTGGATAGCAGCCCAATCTCTCCCGGAATCGGACCGTAAAGAAATCGATACGAGGTATCTAGTGCCACAACTCGTGAGTCCGAGTTGCAGGTGACGCCAGGGAAGGAGCAATGCACAATAGAGGAATCGTTAGTGGGAAATCTGTTGGGATCCCACTCCAAAAATCCACTGTAGTAGCAGGGGAGTCTCCACGACATTGCAGTAGATTTGAGCTTCAATAACTCTTGGAGATCGTTGCTACTACAGCTACTAGTGGTAGCGGCGGCCAAGCAAATAGTTGCGATCACCAGTCGCACCAACCTGCTGGAATTGCTCGTCGCCATCATATTTTCCTGCTGGGGGATGCGGCATCTTCCTCGATCACGAAACGGTTCTCCCTTCCTTCTTCGGCGGCAGAGGAGAAGGGGAAGGTGTTGATTTTTCTTCGATTTAGGGATTTAATCTTGGTGGGTAGTTGGGTTGGTGGGTCAAGTCTTTGGTTAAAAGGTTGGGTAGGTTTAGATGAGATGACGGGTTTTAATGACGTGACGGGTCGTGTCAGACTATTTTTGGGTTAAATAGTGCTGATTAGACGATTCCATCGGCCACATCATCACTTAGCAGACTCATTTAAAGGAGATGGACGACAGCTAACGGAGAGTGACCAAACGCGAACGGTTTTTGTAAAGTGAAGTACCAACAATGGATTTAAATATTTCGAGTGACCAAACTTGAACGTTTTTAGTAATCTCAGTGACCAACCATGCAATTAACCCGTTAAAAGTTTTTTAAAAAGTACAGTTTTCTTACAATAAAAAAAGTTATAAAACAAGTATAGTTGAAGAGCAAACAATACGGAGCTTGTTTGAATAAAAATGTATTGTCTAGGGGCTAAGATGTGACTAAACTCTTAATTAAAATAATATAATAATCACATTTTTATTCGCGCTTTTGATTTTGAATTCTTGAGAAATTGACACTCTGACGCTCTCGCTTTGGTTACCTAAGTTCAGATTCTATCGTTCTAGGTCAAAGCATAAATCGCAGGAATGTGATCACGATTCAAAAAATTCTTGAAAATGCCTTGATAACACATAAATTAGTGTTATTTACCCTTCATGTTTAGATTTATTTCGTGCTAATTCAGTGCACAATCATTTTAATAGTGCCGATTGCATCCTTATTTCGTTCCTATTTGATTATGGTGTGATTTTAGGGTGCTTTAGACAATACATGTGAATTAGGTACGAAAAAGGACACAAATGTAGCAAAAGGAGCAGAATGTTGATGATCACGGCCAAAAACAATGACGGAAAACTCAAGGCAAATATCGCAGCCTCGAAGCATAAGATCTCGACCGCGATATTTGAGGCTGAGGGCACAAAATTCGTGAAGAAGCTAGCGAGGAGAAACAAAGAGTTTCCCCAGTCCGATCAAGACCACAGTTCACATTGACCGCGAGGAAGTTCGTGGCCGTGCTTCACGAATCACGATTGTGAAGTCAGTCCGCGAACTCCTCGTTCCTGAAGGCCAAAACGACGGTGTCGGCAAATCACGACCTCAAAGAAGAGGATCGCGATCGTGATCTTCACGTTGCCTGGCCGCTAACTGCTCCATCCTCTGAAGGTTATAAATAGAAGACCCCCTTCCCCCAATGAAGAGAGTTGATTTTGAGATAGAATTTCTGGTTAGAGAGTGAAAGAAGAGAGAGAAGCTGAAGGAAGGAGAAGAGGAGGAGGAGCAGAAGAGAGGATCCATCTCCCTCAACATCAAGTCTTCCCCAATTTCTTCTATGTATCTTCTTTCCTCATTTATGGAGTAGTCCTCTAAGGTACTAGGGGTTCTAAACCCCAAACCATAAAACTAGGGTTACTATGTAAGGAATGGATATTTTAGGGTTTTATGAATGAATGTGTTTATCTTGTTGATTTCATTGTTTCTCTAGCTTTGATTGTGTTTGGGTAAGTCACCCTAATCTTCTTTACTAGCCTACCTAAGCTTCTACGTTGGGTATGAAGTTTTAGGGTTAGACGGGTATGCGCCATCAAGCAAATTGAGGTTAGATGTATGAATAGGATCCTATAGTGGACGAGGCGACCGTACCCCTTCCATAGGAATGCCTTCCCAGATTGAACCCGAGATAAAACCTCAGTGTGGGCAGTGGGTAGTACCCATTGAAATGAGCTATGTTCTTAATGCCGCATATACGATAGCCTAGATCGAGATGACTGACATCGGTTTAGGGGAGGCATATTCGAAGGCGTATGTATAACCACGAAATCCCACGAAAAAGTGCTTAGTCACCACATTCAACAAATCCTATTTATCTAGACATTGCATAGTAAACCTAGACTAGGGTAATGGATAGTTCCCCGAAGTACCTACTTTAATCCTTATTTGTTCTCTCTACTAGTTCTTTCGTTTGAATCCTCCATCACAAACCCTTAAACCGATTGGCTAGATAACAACAACGTGGGAAGTAAGTTAGGCACCGAGACCCGAGTGAACACAACCTTAATTGCCACTATATTACACATACATATAGGTTTGCTAGGAAAAACCCTAGATACATTGACATATTACAAACATGTACTTATAGCTTAACACGTAGATCCTCCCGAAGCACTCCCTCCATATTTCACCTATCATTATGTTCCATACTAGTCTTCCCACTATGCCATTATGGAAGCAAGTAATAGCTTACAACACACCTATTTGCCAACCTTCACATCAAGAGTAGTTCCAAGACGGTCTTTCCAAAATGACAATTTTAGCATGATATTTCGTCTTGGTTAACTAATTTTGTTAGTATTTAAAAAAGAGCCAGTTAGTATTGACATATCTTGTGGCATAGCTTAAAAAATATTATTTTATTACAAAACAACAACCAAAAAAATCTTCTATAAATTTGAGCGAGATAGAATGGAAGAATGAGAATAGTGAAATGATAAAATAGTGCGATTTTTGTTATAGAATGTTATAAAGGCACGCGATGCTACGGATCGGGAAATCGCAGGAATCGACAAAGCAAGAATATGAAAGCGAGAATCGAAAACACGACACACGATTTACGTGGTTCACTAACACGATGTGTGTTAGCTACGTCCACGGGCGAGAGAGAGTCAGTTTCACTATATTAAGTGTTTACTGTTAATAACTAGGCATTGCTAATTTTATATGCACTTGGATTATATGAATTATTCAAGAAAACAGGAAATATTTAAGAATTTTTCCATTTATGCTCTGAATGCCTAGGCGCGCCTAGACTACGCCAAATCGGGCAAGGGGCAAGTCTAGAGTCGAGCGCCTGCCTTATGCCTAGCGTCTTTTAGAACCTTGGTTTTAATTAACCTGCTAGACCTATGGAGTCTGAAGTTATTCCAATTCCAAAACATATACTTACCCTACTTCTCCTACCTCCATCAAAAGTTGTACTCAAATTATTAATAACAAGGGAGCTACATTAAATACTCCATGGAAAAAATTTGGTCTTGCATCTGTCTGTCATTTCACATTTGGGAACAGAAAAATCCAGCAAATTAAGTAACCCTAACTTTTGGAGGCACTACAAATCACAACTCACTACAAGTACCCCTTCTTCTTCTTCTTCTTCTTCTTCTTCTTCTTCTTCTTCTTGATTAAACACAAAAAAGAAAAGGAAGCATGGAGCTCTACTTATCCGATCATCTCCCAGCGGTTTCAACACTAATGACAGTCCTCCTCTTCTTGCTCATTTGCTGGTTCGGCCGCGAAAAAACCAAGTCGACACCACCACTGCCAGGTTGCCTCCCAATCGCCGACCATCTCCTCCAACTCATATCTGTAGAATCACAATCTTGTGCAATCTGACGAACTTCTTATTGAAATCAAAGCAGGAATAAATAGGTTGATGTAACCCACATGACTCGGGCCACTACCAACGACTCTAATACCCTCAACGCTGAAAACCAGCTCCCTCAACTACCTATCTAGCTGAAAACTCTCAACAACTAAACAGATCTGTTCAGGACTTATTTGCAGTAAATAAAAACATAAAGGACTCAGACAAATAAACTGCAAACGACGCAGTTTCATCTAAGCAGACAAACTCAAATTCAAACTGGTTTCCTTTGGCGCCCATCACTAATCCTTGTGCCATCAGGATTTGATTCCAACATATCCTCCCCTGAACTGAACTCCATCCAATCTGAGTTCCAGTTCACAACTTCAAGCCTCCTTCAGTGCTCCTCAAACTCAGACAAGCTACAGACCCCCAACCTCCTTCTCATTCTTTGAAACGCTTCCAGACCCAATGCCTTGGTCATTATATCAGCAGCTTGATCCTGAGTGCCACATTGCTGCAACTCCACCACTCCTTCCTTTGTCAACTCTCTGAGGAAGTGAAACCTTACATCTATGTGTTTACTTCTACCATGTAAGACTGGATTTTTTGACAGCTTAATGGTAGAGCAATTATCACACATAATGACAGTGCTACCTTCCACACTAGCCTCCCAGCCTAACTCAGTCATCACCCTTCGCAACCACACACACTGTGCTGCACAGTAAGCAGCTGCTACAAACTCAGCTTCAGTGGTTGACAATGTCACCATAGGCTGCTTCTTTGATGCCCACGAAACTGCTCCTCCTGCCAAAAAGAACACATACCCACTGGTACTTTTCCTATCATCAATGTCTCCAGTATAATCACTGTCTGTGTACCCTAGGAGACAATTTTCTCCTTTCTTCCTTTGATACATGATGCCATGGCTTATTGTTCCTTTGACGTATCTCAGCACTCTTTTGGCTGCAAGTAGATGCTGTTTGGTTGGTGCTTCCATGTACCTTCTCAGCAGACACACAGAAAACATCAGATCTGGCCTTGTGGCTGTGAGGTACAACAGGCTGCCAATAAGCTGCTTGTACTCAGTAGCATTCACCAGTCCTCCTTCTCCTGGCTTTGACAACTTTGCACCAGGAACAATGGGATTATGCACAAAATTGCAGTCAGACAAGTGGAACCTCTCTAGAACCTCCTTTGCATACTTTTGCTGGCAGATGAATATCCCTGAGTCACTTTGCAGCACCTCAACCCCTAGGAAATACTTCATCTTCCCCAGGTCAGTCATTTCGAATTCAGCTTCCATAGATTTCTTGAAATCAGTCACCATCTCAGGACTTGTGCTGAAAAACAGTAAATCATCCACATAGATACTCACCACCAGCATACCCTGCTGTGTTTTCTTGATGAACAAAGTAGCCTCATTCTGACATTTCTCAAACCCAGTGCTGATGAGATAGGATTCAATGCGACTGTACCAAGCCCTAGGAGCTTGCTTTAAGCCATATAGTGCTTTCTTCAATTTGTAGACTTTAGATTCCTCCCCAGCAACTACAAAACCTTGTGGTTGCTCAACATACACATCCTCAGTGAGTTCACCATTGAGGAAAGCACTCTTGACATCTAGCTGCCACACAGGAAGTCCATGGTGAGCTGCAAGTGCCAGGAGTGTTCTGATGGTGTCCCATCTGGCAACTGGGGCAAAAACCTCATTGTAGTCTATTCC